TTTTATTTGAATTATATAGCTACAAAGTACCTTCTTGAACCTCCCCTTCCGTAAATGAACATTATGCAAATGTGAATTCTTATTAGTGGATTCTGAGTGCCTTAACGTTGCATTTACTGAAAAATAGAACTGTCGATAGACGTAAATTCCTCTATTGTTTTAAGTAACTATTAAATGGCACTTGATAAAACAACATATTACAAGAAAATGTAAATCATGGGTTAATATCGTAAGGTTAAAACAGTGAAATATATCGTAAATATCATACAAATCATATTACATGATGGCCACCGATTCTATAAGTTAATAATATTTATTACATCATGCATGACCACGAGATAAAAAATCAAAGTTACAATTTCATATTATATCTATGCGTCGAGAACTTAGTTAATAATTCAACAAGATAAATAAAGAAAATAAATGTGTAGATATATAGACCCATATAGTATCTTTCGATAAAGAGAAATGAAATGGTTTCCACATTGGTATTGATTTTTCTTATAGCATTAAAATTATTACACCTATTTTATTCCTATTTTCATTCCATTGAATTTACTCTTGTATATCTAATGTGAACATCATTTGAAAAGAACTTTAGCTCTGCATAATTTTATGTCATATTACTTTCTTGACAACTTAAAAAAAATAAGTAAAAATACTTGAGTCTATCATTGATTTTCGTTTTCTGTGACGGCTGATGTCAGTTTTCTTTGATTCTCAGATAAAGATCGAATATCTATTTTATTTTCCTTATATGTTTGTTCATCTCTTTACATACGAGAGGATTTTTTCTTGAACATATCATCATTGTATTTGTTCTGAATAATAGATTTTTCCGATTAGGAGAGAGAGAGAGAGAGAAAGAGAGAAAGAGAGAAAGAGAGAGAGAGAGAGAGAGAGAGAGAGAGAGAGAGAGAGAGAGAGAGAGAGAGAGAGAGAGAGAGAGAGAGATTGGATTATCCTTTTTTTATCCCTATTATTATCATATGATGATTTTTATCATCACCATCAAAATACCATTTTCTTAATCATCATTTATGAAATTCGTATCATCATATTGGTTAAATGCGACAGTCACTCATTCTTACTGGATGTCACAATCCCCACATTCATTCGTTAAATCAGGTAAGTGTGATACCTCCTTTTCGAGATTTATCCGGGCCACAAGTACTTCTTACATGACACCTTGTAGGGCACCCTAGGGACCTTAGAAGGCTCAGGGGGCTTACGCTTCGCCTGTTCCTCAATGAAAGCCTTGATGCGCTCCACGGCGGTCTGGGCGTTGAGGGGCATCCCCACCACGGTGACGGGTATTCACGATATTCACGTAGCACTCCGCCTTCAGCCACTGGACGAAGGCCCTGTTCTACCACAAGAGGTTCATATCATTACAATTGTATTTATATTATTATTGCCATAAAACTTCAATTCACTGACATTAGAATTACTCTTCATCAACGAGCCGGTAAAATGAAATCAACAAAAATGTAAAGCGAAAAATGCGCACGAACAGTATAGTCTTCCCTCGCCTCGCAGCGGACAATTTCTCTGCGTGGGTTCCTCTGCATAAACTACGCTTAAACAACATTGAAGATTGAGATTGAGAAGCTGTTTCGGCCCAAGACAGTTATGCAAGTAGCTCGAGACGCATGTAGTTCGGAAATGGTTAATGGTTAAAACAAACGTAATATAGCATTATGTTAAAGTATTGTAACAAAAAAAATGAATTAACGATTAAGTGAAGTGGACAGAGGAAAGGGATGAAGAAGGGAAAGAAAAGGAAAGGAGAAGTAAGGACCACGCAAAATTAGTCGAGGGCTGAGGAACAAGGCAGGGGTGACCCCCCACACTGGACCTCCGTCTCCTAAGCACCCCCTCCCCCACGGCAACGATGACCAACGATGGGATTTGGGTGTTACATAAACATATACATATGTATATATGTCTATCTGTTCTTTCAGATGAAATTCAGCTAAGGTTATAAGCAAACATAATATGTAGGGGTACATTGGGCCTCAGTTTTCGCCTCCTAAGCGACTCTCTCTTAAAAAACAAAGATTAATAGAATGTCCTCTAAGTATGCCAGCCGTTCTTTATTATCACGTGCCCACAAGTTGCACATGTCCTGCCATCTACCGGGAAATTAGACCGTTTTGTTGTTACAGTGCTCATTGCTCGTTTCGGAAGTGAAGTTTGTTTATAGTGCTATCAGTGGTTACGAATTCTTTACCAATTTTACGGTGAAAACGAATTCTTAATGGAATTGTTACGATCTCAGGGATATCAACAAATTCAATGGAGTACAGTAACCGTGTTCCAACTGCAGAAGTTCGCCAGAGGTTCGTCATCTTCCGAACCGCCTTTCCTCTCACCACAAGGTAAACCCATTTGCATTTTTATATGTTCTGAATATTGTCATGGATGAAGCGGTCGGATAGGAAATATAGTGACCGGAGGGGAGATAGGCAGTTAGGGAGGGGGAAGGGTGGGGGGGCTGTCCTAAGGCGACCTTCGTGGCAGGTTGTGCGTTCATTCGAGTCAAGAGTGATCAAATCTGGGATATTTTTTTCTTCTTTCCTTCACTTTCTTTATCTGAAATGCGGTTATTAGCTCGGATTTTTACTTACCACGTTTACTTTTTTAAGTGTCTGTTATGACCGAATTCGCCCATAATCAGTCCCAGGCCGTAAACATTGACCCTTAAATGAGTCTACGTTTTCTCTTCCTCCGTTTTCTTTAATCCCGTCATCACTTTTCCTCCTCCTCCTCCCCCTCCTCGGCGTCCTCGTCCTCCCCCTCCTCCTGCCCTCATTTTCCTGCCTTTTTTCTGTCTGTCTGTCTCTGTCTCTGTCTCTGTCTCTGTCTCTGTCTCTGTCTCTCTCTCTGTCTCTCTCTCTCTCTCTCTCTCTCTCTCTCTCTCTCTCTCTCTCTCTCTCTCTCTCTCTCTCTCTCTCTCTCTATCTCTATCTCTATCTCTCTCTCTCTCTCTTTCTCTCTCTCTCTCTCTCTCTCTCTCCCTCCCTCCCTCCCTCTTTCCCTCCCTCCCTCCCTCCCTCCCTCCCTCTTTCCCTCCCTCCCTTCCTCCCTCTTTCCCTCCCTCTTTCCCTCCCTCCCTCCCTCCCTCTTTCCCTCTCCCTCTCCCTCACCTTTCCCTCTTCGACCCCCTCTCCCACTGTGCCCCTGTCCCTGTCCCTTTCCCTTTCCCTTTTATTTTCATTTTCCCTCTTCTTTTCCCTTTCCCTTGCATTTTCATTTTCCCTCTTCCTTTCCCTTTTCCACTCCCTGTCCCTGTCCCTGTCCCTTTCCCTCTCTCTCTCACCCTCACTCTTTCCCTCTCCTTTTCCCCCTCCCTCTCCCTCTCGCTCTCCCTCTCTCTCTCGCTCTCCCTCTTGTTCTCGCTTACCCTCTCCCTCTCCCTCTCGCTCTCCCTCTCTCTCTCGCTCTCCCTCTTGCTCTCCCTCTCCCTCTCCCTCCCTCCCTCCCTCCCTCCCTCTTTCCCTCCCTCTCCCTCACCTTTCCCTCTTCGACCCCCTCTCCCACTGTGCCCCTGTCCCTGTCCCTTTCCCTCTCTCTCTCACCCTCACTCTTTCCCTCTCCTTCTCCCCCTCCCTCTCCCTCTCGCTCTCCCTCTCTCTCTCCCTCTCCCTCTTGCTCTCGCTCTCGCTTACCCTCTCCCTCTCCCTCTCCCTCTCCCTCCTCCTCTCCCTCTCTCTCTCTCTCTCTCTCTCTCTCTCTCTCTCTCTCTCTCTTTCTCTTTCCTCTCTCCCTCTCTTTCTCCTTCTCTCTCTCTCCTTTTCCCTTTCCCTCTCCCTTTCCCTTTCCCTTTCCCTCTCCCTCTTCCTCTTCCTCTCTCTTCCCCTTCCCCTTCCCCTTTCCTCTCTCTCTCTCTCTCTCTCTCTCTCTCTCTCTCTCTCTCTCTCTCTCTCTCTCTCTCTCTCTCTCTCTCTCTCTCTCTCTCTCTCTGTGTCTTTCTCTTTCCTCTCTCCCTCTCTTTCTCCTTCTCTCTCTCTCCTTTTCCCTTTCCCTCTCCCTCTCCTTCTCCTTTCCCCTTTCCCTTTCCCTCTCCCTCTCCCTCTCCCTCTTCCTCTCTCTTCCCCTTCCCCTTCCCATTTCCTCTCCCTTTCCCTCTCCCCACCCTCTCACTTTGTCCTTCCATCGTTTCACTCTGTTTATGAATAACAATTCATTCGTGCAATCAAGATTTTCCTTTGAAAATCTGTTACTGTATTTTTGATGGTAATGTAAAAAAATGACAACACCGAAACATTGAAATTCTGTCATTTTGTTACATGACCAAAACTGAATCATTTTGGCTGTGTTGTTTATTAGTTTGTGGGAAGCATAATACATTTACGATATATTCAATTCAATTCAAAGTATGATGACTGAATTGAAAATGTATTTTGTTCGAGGTAAAATGTTTTCACTAGAATTTGTACGGCTGGGAATATTATTTTTTCCCATCCTTTTTTAAAAAAATATAAAACTCACGTTTGTTGAGATTTTTATCATTGTTGAGTCTTTTTCCCAGTCGGTTTTCTATTTTAATGAATTTGGTTTTGACAATACTTTTTTATTTTATTTTTAGTTAGTAAAGTAACTTTGGCCAAGGTTTCCATAATTGTAAACATGATTTTCCATTTTCTTTTCTTTCGCTTTTCTATTAACTCCCTTTGTCTAGGTTTCAACAATTACTGATATAAGTGATTTTTGAAATCTTTTGTAGTTGCTAATATTTTTTGTCACATTTATTATTTCATTTATTCTTGTTATTGAAAAAGCTATACTGTCAAACCATTTTTTAGACTGTCTTTTCACATTTTAAGTAATCACTTTTCTATATGTAATTGTATTGTAGATCATATGACGATAGATACTCAAGAAAAAAAGGGGAAATAAAAAGGGAAACACTGCAGCTAATTCAATTTACATTTATTCAGTGCACTATCTGCCTGTACTTGAATGAACCCTACTACTTTTCAAACCAGAGTGGAACAGGACCACAGGGAGGCCGCTGTTTCAGTGTGGTTAAGTGAAACTCGGGCACGAGAGTACCAAGAGCTCAGGTCAATACACAACAAGAAGTGATGAAAGGTTATTATCATTATTTTTTTTATATATGTTTACTTTAATAGGATTTTCGTGGTACGAGGCGACCACTTTCTTTGATGAAAGGTACCATACACAAACGTCACACGAAACACCATGCCTGCTGTAATACTTATGAGTAAGTTCCTATCCTCGACACCGAATATAATAATAATAATAATTATAGTTTGCCACACAAATGGATAACTCTTGCAGGAGCCAACACCCAGTCCCATGATTCCTCTGAAGTAGCTAGGAGGAGGGGATGAGGTGGAGGGATAGGAGAGGGGAAATAAAACAGGAAGAGAAGGGTAGAGAGGAAGGAAAGGATAGGAAGGAGGAGGGAGAGAACTGGGTTTGAGGAGGGGAAGGAAAATAGGAATGGAGGAAAAAAAAGGGGGAGGGATGGGATGAATAAATGAAGGAAAGAAAGGAAGGAGGGAGGATGGAAAGAGGAAGAAGAAGGGAAGGGAGAAAGGAGGGTCTCTCACTGTCGCGACGGAGGGTCCCGCTCCTACACGACTTGGCGGGGCCGATAAGTGCGTGAATCCTGGGCTCATAGCTGGCATGGGCTTGGGGTTGGAACCTAAGGAGAAAAACCCAACACTGAATCGAAGTGCCTTATAGAGCGAAATATGGATCGTCCGTTGGTTATAGGTCTCTAGACTATGTCCTAAATCAGTTTCTGACATCTTCCGATCTAAGAGATTTCCTTAAAGAGATTAGATACGTTATTAAGAATGATATGTGATTGGTAACCTGTATTATATAGACAGATGCCTAAAAGCATCAGCACAATCAGACTCACATATATAATCTCAAGAGACACAGGGTTAAATAAATGCAAAAAATCCGTTTTCTAATTCCCAGGTGACTAAACCGGCTCACACCTTGTTTATTTAATTATTAATCTAATAAGACTTGTCTCGCCTTCCTGGAGTCCTTGGAGACTTTGAACGACGAGATTCTTGAACAGCACTTGCTTGAGGGAGAGCTGGCGAGCTTACCCTTGAGTGGGAGGTCAGAGCTTGGGACCTTGTCCTCGGTCCTCAAGCTCTACCGGCCCGGAGGTCTTCCTCGAGAGCTCCAAAGGGGACCCACGTTCTTGAAGCTCCTACTTAAACGACTAAGAACTAGCTAAGGAACTAGAAGTTAATCCCTGCTTCGATTCATAGGATGGCTAACTACATAGCGAAGTCTCCCCTTGCCTTTCTGATAATGCGTATACACTGCCACGCAAAAAATAGAGAAAACGGGAAGGGGAAGACTTAATTATGACTCTTTATTCAATAACCACTGAACCAACTACATCATGAATACATATGAGTAGTTTCCCTAATTCTCATTCCCTCTCTTTTCTCCTCCATTCTCTCCTCCATTCTTCCCTTTTTTTTCCCCCCAGGATGCTCTTCCTTCTTTTGTCTCTCTCTTTCTCTCTTCTCTCTTCTCTCTTCAATCCTCCTCTCTTCTCTTCTCTCGTCTCTCTCTCTCAATCAAGTGTTGTTCAGAGACTCTCCTCAAGCTGTCTCTCTGTCCCGGGAAGCTTAAATGCTGACGTAATCATGAGTTTTTCCCGTCAGTCTCTTCTCTCCATCGGTGTGTTCCACGATGTGCTGGACCTGAAATACATACAACGTGGCTGTTATACTAAGGGCTATGGGGCGAGGGGGTATGGGTGTTATTGAGACGGTGGGGGTCAGTTTAGTTGGTGTGGGTGTGGGGCGTGGTGTTGCTGTGGTTGTTCTTGTTGTTGGTATTGTTTTCTTGGTGTTGATTTTGTTGATATTGTTGTTGTTGTTGTTATCATTACCATTATTATTGTTATTGTTATTGTTTTGTTATTGTTCTTTTTCTTCTTAATATTATTATTACTGTTATTGCTATTATTAGTATTTTGTTGTTGTTATTATTATTATTATTATTATTATTATTATTATTATTATTATTATTATTATTATTATTATTATTATTATTATTATTATTATTATTATTATTATTATTATTAACATTATTATTATTATTGACATTATTATTGTTATCATTACCAGTATTATTATCATTTCTATTGTCATAATTATGATTATAATCATCATTGCTATAATCATTGTCGTTATTGTTATTATTATTATTATCATCATTATTGCTATTATTATTATTTTAATTATTATTATTATCCTCATCATTATTGCTATTATTGTTATTATTATTATCATAATCATCATAATCGTTATAACATAGCATTATCGTTATTATTATTATCATTATTTTTATCATCATCATTATTATTATTATTATTATTATTATTATTATTATTATTATTATTATTATTATTATTATTATTATCATTATTATTATCATCATTTTTATTTTATTATCATTATTGTTATTTATTTATTATTATTATTATTATCATTATCACGATGTCATTGTTATTGTTTGTAGTAGTAATAGTAATATTGTTATTATTGTCATTGTTATTTTCATTATTATTATTATTATTATTATTATTATTAACATTATTGTTATTGTTTTCGTTATCATCATTATCATCATCATCAGCATTATCATTATCATCAGCATTATTATTATTATTATTATTATTATTATTATTATTATTATTATTATTATTAATATTATTATTATTGTTATTATTATTATTATTATTATTATTACTGTTATTATCGTTATTATTGATACTTTCATTATCATTATTATTATTATTATTATTATTATTTATTATTATTATTTTTTAAATGATACTCTCATTATTACTATTTTAATTACTACTATTATTGTTGTTATCTTTACTACTACAGCTACTAGTACAGTTGGTATTATCATCAGCATTGGTATTATAATAATCATCACCCGGACCACCCTACATCAGATACGCTATTACTACGTTTATCTGCATTATTCCTGTCATTTTATACTAATCACTGTCATTATCACAATCATCATAATAACTTTCCAAAATAACTAATAACTTTCAAAATAATAAATCTGACATAATAACCCAGTATGTAGGAAACGAATATGTATAGAAAACGGATACGTATAGAAAACGAAGACCATGCTCAGAAAGTATGGGGAATAGTCTGCATGCATAATCCGTGCAAGGTAGTAAGATCTGTAGAATCTCTTACATTCAGAATTAGATTTGAACACATATTGTAATTAAATCAGTAAGGGAGTAGATGTCTTTGATTAATCATACGAGTTCCTAGATTTTCTTTTTTAATGGGAAGTTATATGTTTATTTATTGCTGAATATTGCTATGACGTTCTGAGGACTCATTTCAGTAGAACTTTGTGTACGATAGAGAACCTGTTATTATTAATACTATCATTTATATTTTTTTGTTCACTATTGTGCAGTACGTGAGTATTCATTATAGCTCATCATGGTAGAAAACATGTGTCGATTTATGATGTAAAAGAATCGCACAATCTAATCTTTAGAGAGCGCAAAATTAATTTCCTAACGCGCAAAATCACTTTACTTGCGCACATAATTAGTTTTGTTCGGGAGCAAAGTCTATTTAGTTGTACTTGGGCGCAGGATTAATAACCTTGGACCCCAGCCTTGATTTATTTAGGGGGTAAATTTAGTTTATTTAAGTATATGTACTTAGGCGCAGATATCATTTACTTAAACGCAAACTGAGTGCACTTGGGGAAAAAGTAATATACTTGGGCACAAGGTCTACTTCCTAGGAAACAAACGCATTCTCTAGAGCACAAACAAAACATTCCCAAGGCGGATGATGATTTCCTTGGTTCACAAAATGAATCTAATCTATAAGGGCACAAAATCTATTCGCTCAGGCGCAAAATCTACTTACGGAAGCACAAAATCAACCTACCATAATTAGGCCTAATTATCAAAAACCATACCTACTGCTTGGGACACAAAAGTCCTTTTACCAGCTTGCAAAATATATGACAAAGTAAATGATTAGGTCACGTAATTGCAAGGTCAATTTAGTAGCAACTACTGCACAAAATCGATTCACTAGAACAAGCTCTCTTTTTTAAGGGTATGAAAAATGTCTATTAGGGTACAAAAACCTATTTACTGCAGCATACAATCAATTGACTGGGAAACAAAATGTATATACCACAAACTCAAATCACCAATAAAGACACATAACTGTTAATATGGGTAAAAAAAAAGAAAAATGACGGCATGAAATCCATCAACTTAGGTAGATAACCTGTTAACTGAACACAAACTAACTTTGTTACTGCACAAAACCTATTCAGGATCATATAATCTAG